TGCATGAATCGTCGGCATCTATGACTCTCGACCAGGTATGAGGGTATTGTTAGGATAATTGTAACGTCTCGCTGTAAAGGTGATTTTGTATTCGCTCGTAATGATGTTCGGATACCTGTTTGTTGAGGGTGGACGTTGTTCAAGTAATTTCTGTCTTCGGTCGTCAATCTACATCGGAACGTTGCAGGAACAATATCAAGGAGTTGTGCAGTTCGTAGTATAAAAAAAAATGGAACCTGATGGAGTGGTAGCCAGTAGTGAAAAAGTAAATGAAGAAGTGTTCAATTCAAATATAGATATTTGGAATGCGTGGAGAATATGTGAAAATATGTTGAAGAAAAACGGTTTTATGAAAGAGACGAAGTCTTATAACACTTCACAATGCGACGTGCAACTTGCAACCGAAATATACAATCGTGTTGTTAGTATGTTAAATGAAATGGACGTTACGGACGATGAAGAACTGATACTTCGGGATGATAGTATGGACGATGATATTCAATCATGCTCATATACTTCCGATGAAGAGGACATAGAAGAATGGAAAGAAGATGATGATCGTAGTGGTCGGCGATCCATTATATCTCTACATTATAAAAAGAAAGTAGTGGCCATGGCCAATGCGCATCCGAAGTGGTCCCTTCAGACACTTCAAAAACATGGAGCATTACTACTAAAAAAGAAAGCTTACTTGAAACTGTAATATTAATTTTATTTATAATACATGTGAAATATAGATAATATAATACATGTATAATGCATTAGCATGTTTCCCATACGAATCTAATGAAATTGTGCACATACGGTTCATTTTTCAGGTGGGAAGCAGAAATCGCTAAAGGGGGTAGTAAATTTTTTAAATATGAAAAAATAAATAATATGACCTTGCAGCGATTTCAAGAAGCAAGAGTCAATCATCAGTGGGTCACTACCAGCATGTTGCAAGAATGGGCTTTATCTTATGCCCGTGAATTGAAGTGCGACAAATTTAATGCAAGTGAAAGATGGGTACAGAGATTTAAAAGGAAATATAAAATACGGCAACGTAAAAAGTATATTAGTAAGACGAAAGTAGTATCCGCTGAAAAAAAACGTTCTGTAAAATGCAGCAATATTTCAAGAAGAAATTCGAAATCTGTTGCATAATTACGATACAAGTTTCATTATTAATACGGACCAAACGGACTGTCAATATTAATCATTCATAAATAGGACGTTAGATGTGAAAGGTTCCAAAACTGTAATTGTAAAAACGCGTAGTATACATAAATTAACTGATTCATATACTTGGCAATATACATTAACTGCGTCGGGTAATATTGTGTACGTTTGTTTACAATAAACGGCAGATAAGTTTGGACCGAGAATCCCAAAAGAAGTAAACACATTAACGGAAAGATTAAAAAATATTGTTGTGACATGCAGTAAATCCGGCAAACTGGCGAAATATGTGGAATATTTGCAAAAAGTTCTAAGCCATACGTCGGAAGTAATAATTTTTTATTAATTGTAGACTCAAGGGGAAGCCAAATGGGCGATGTATGTGAAAAGCTTGCTACGATACTCCCAAAATGTACGCCCGTGATTCTCAACCTTGTCGTCACGGTACAATTTTAATAATTTAAAAATTTGACAACACGCTGACAATAAAATAAAAATTTTATTTCGTTTATTGATTGATGTACCTATAATATATTTTATACATTTAGCACGTAAAATAATAATTTTTAATGAAAAATACAGTGAAAATTTCATTACAAAGTAAATAAAATGTTTATTTATTTATTTATTTCAATATTGTAGTAAGGCGTTAGCCTAGTACAATCTATACCTATACATATAATTGAAGTTCTACTCCACTTATGTGACTTGAGTTATATGCTTATAGTTTTATATGTATATACAATAATTATATTATTTGCAAGTCTAATACTCAATTACACTTAATCTACTGCTTAATTATGTAGTCTTGTACTGTCTGTTTTTATAATATTCTGTTTTTAGGATTATTCTTCTAAACAAAATGCTCTAAATTTTAAACTATTTAATATTTTATATTTAAACTATATTTTAATAAAGTTTGTTAGGTCCCAAATTTGTTTTTCGTTAATTGCTTTAATTATTTCCAACTACTCCCGTGTGCGTGGTGCACTTGTCAATTGTGTTTTCCATGCTCTTACGAAAAATATCATCCATAATATTGTAATTATAATTAATTGTATACGCATTACTTGAAATATATCGTTTGTTAAATATATTTATAAATTAGCTACGAAATAAAAAACAACAATGAAAAATGTCCATCTTCAACAAGCAGATATTCAGACATCACTACGAGTAGGTACGAAATTACCTTTATTGCGAGAAGTTACCATTATCCTAACAAAACCTTTATAGTATATAGGGTGTTCCACAAAAAGTGTTAGAGCCGAAAAGGGGTGATTCTATAAATGTAATAAAAGAGCGTATAGGGCCCGCGCTAAGCCACGGCCGAGCATCAAGGTAGCCAACCTACCTGCGGCTGGGTGCGAGCCCTACGCATGCTCTGATTGGTCAATGTTTTTCATCAACAATTTAAAAACCATGGCTCATTTTGCATTTTACGAAAGGAAATTGTTGTTCAGAATCATTTTGGCTCTAACACTTTTTCTGGGACACCCTGTATAGATGATGATTCATGTAGAAAATTCGGTATGAATGGAATTCACGAAGAAAATATATTTACAATGCACATGCAGAAAATTTCACGTAAACGAGTTTAATAATATTACTACAAGCGTATTTTACATTTGCATTATTTTAATTGCCTTAAAATTCACGTTAGAGCTAACTAAAATTAAATGAAGAAAAAACATTCCCTCATGAAGAAGACTAGAACGCAATCAATATTTTTTTTTCCAATTACTGCAATTTTTAGCATAAAATTTATGAAATCTGCGCCAACGAACACCTATTTTTATTTTTAAAATTGAGAATGCTTCTTAACGATATTTCTTTTTTTCGTCTTTTTCTATTTATATTTTTGGTATCGTGAGGTTTTTCAGTCGACCTTTGTCTGGAATAAAGGAGCGTACCTGGCTTATGATATCTGCCGTCTTTACAAAAAGGAAATGGGAGAGATGTGCCAGCATTAGGGGACGGAAATCCGTAGTTACATTTGGACGCTAGCAGACGTAGCATCGCTTTCGTACATAAAATCGAGTTGTAATGTAAAAAAATATAATATTGAATGTAGAAGATTGTGATGTGCAACGAATTGTGTCGCGAGGAAATTTGCAGAAGGAAATTTCGAAACTACAATTAAAAGATGCAGTGACATATCCTTGCTGAAGGGGATTTGATTGCACCAAATTCTTCTGCAGTGATCAATGAGGAGGCTCTTCTTATGGCAGAGGAAATCTATAACCGTACAATTGATATGTTAAATGAGTATAAATTCATCAAGTGTGAAGAACTCTTTATGAAGAATGAAGCCGAAGACAAGGAAACACATGAAGAAGCAAGGAGCAGTTCATCGGAGAATTACGAGCCACAGGAGAAAATAACGAAAACGGAACACATTCCATTAGAATACAAAATTAAAGTTGTAAACATTGTAAAAGCACACAAAGGATGGACGCTTAAAACTTTACAAAGAAGAGGGTGCTCTCGCTTAAAACGCATGGATGATATACCGAGGTGGGAGGCTCACATTAAACGTGGTGGGACCATTTTTGATAAGTATTCAATAATTGATTCATGGACGAAGGATCGTTTTGAAGAAGCTCGCAAAAGTCATCAGCAAGTGACGACGAGAAACTTGCAGGAATGGGCGTTAGCTGCTGCAAGCCAGTTCAGAGACTTCCAATTTAAAGCATCTAAGTCGTGGGTGAAGCAGTTCAAGCAGAGACATGGAATTCGTCAAAGGAAGATTATGAAACACGTCTCGGAAAGTGAGGATTCAACAATGGAGGAATGTTGGACATCCGCGGAAACGTTCCGATCTCAAATTAGAACTTTGATACAACACTTTCATCCAAATTTTATCATTAATACAGATCAGATAGACTGTGAATATCAAACGGATTCTGGCAGAACATATGAACACCAAGAATCCAAGGTGGTCATGGGCCAGGAACAAAATATAACGGAATTGACTTGTCACTCTCACACAGCGCAATATTCTATTACTATGTCGGGAAAACTATTACCCGTTGTTTTTGTGTGCCTACCAGAAATATCTGGATCATGCGGAAAGTCGATAGCCCAGTATTCGGCCAAATATCCAAAGGTAGTTGTTGTATATTCGAAATCAGGGAAACTTGCTACACATTTATATAAAAGTTTTTTAAGTGATTGCTTGAAACCGTACGTGCAAAAAGAGAAATTTCTGTTAATAATTGATTCTTGGGACGGACAAACTAATCCCGTATTGTACGATGAATTATTTCAAGACGATGACGGAAAAGTAACATGTACTTTAAAAGTAATCCCTTCGAAATGCACACCATTGGTCCAACCGTGCGATGTTTATTTTTACCGACAGGTAAAAAATTTTATCAAGAGATTACAAAACTGTACCTACTTACTTGAAAATAAACGCGAGATTAATTCAAGTGAGGATTACATTAAAATACATTCTGTTGCGCATCATCAATTGTCCTCCCCTATATTTTGCAATATGATTCAATATGCGTGGTATGCATCAAAATTATGTGATAACCGAGAAGTATTTATGAATGTGAATGATGTGTGTTTTCCAATAGACACACTTAAACAACTATGCGCTTGTACAAACGTTACTTTCATAATTTGTGCTAGATGCCGCAATAATTATTGCTTTCCATGTTTTTACGATAAGTATCATCCTGGGTCGTGTATGTAATTAATGTAGGAAATGCGTAATTATGTATTAAACGTAATATTATGTATTATTTATACGTTTCATTTTTCCCGTGTCCACAAATAAAAATCAGCATTTTTAATTTAAAAAATAACAATAGGTGTTCATTGGCGAAGATTTCATGAATTTTACGCTAAAAATTGAGGTAGGCTAAGGTTCGCTAAATTAAACTTGGATATTTGAGATCTTCAAATCCTGTAAATTTCAGAGAAATCAGTTTGAGCATCTTTAGTACAAATATTGTCTCAAAATACCTCGATAACTAACAGTTTTAAAATGTCGAGAGTTATCGAACTATACGAAAAAATAATGGAATTGTTGATCGCATAAGCACCATTGCACTTTTAAAAAAAATATTGGTCTACTCTTTAAATCATTTATCTATTTCCTTCATTTTTATATAAGTGCATTGGAGTACATTACTTTGTACATTAATTCAATATCTCACTTAGAATGAAATTTCTCAGTTTTAAAGAAAGAAATGTGAATCATATAACAAATACAAAAAGATTTATTTCCAAACATTTTTACATTACTTATACATCTAAAAATGTCAATTGCAATATAATTTATTATTTTCAATTTGGCTTATTGCTATATGTTTCTATATCTTATTGTCATTAATTTATTGTTAATTTTCTACATTCTACAGGCTCCTTGGGGAACTTGATGCTACAGAAGATGAGTAGTAATGCGGTATCTAATCCAATAGAAAATTCAATGAAGAAGAAATTAGAGGAATCATTAAATCCACTTGTTCTTCAAATAATTAACGAGTCCTATATGCATAATGTACCATCGGGATCTGAGACTCATTTTAAAATTGTCGTCGTCTCTGAATTGTTCGAAGATAAGTCACTAATCAAGGTAAGAATTTGTTTAAAAAAGTGGCTTACTTACTTTAGATTTGTATTTAGAATTTCAAAACACTCTGAGCGTTAGAAGAAAACAATTGAATATGCATTAAGATCCACTCAATAGAAAATCCTAATAAATATAGATAAAAAATAGGCAACCAATTGCAAGATATAAACATGTTTACATGTTAGCATCATGATTGTGTTAACACTGATTTAGACGTTTACAAAAGATATTCCACATGTACATTTTCGTACACACGTAACATATTCTTCATACAGAGTCGTGAACTCTTTCGAAAATACCAGATTTAAAGGCGCATATAAGTCTTCAAAATAGTTGTTTGAATTTTAACTGGGATATTTTTTTCTACGTCGTCTTTCATATTCGGATTGAAATGCTGCTATCTCATCAGTTGTGTTTTTATTTTTCCTCTTATTGAGCAATTTCATTTTTTCGATAAAACTATTAGTAACTTCTTTTTAGAGGAATGTTACAATTGAATAGGTACAAGGCTGAATGCATTCTCTGATAGACTTCTTAAATATCCCCACAATTCATTATTTACATAATGTACACAGTATTTGAATAAATTCCTTTTTATCGCGGTTGTCCGATCAATTTCGTTTGCAAGTGAATCATAATCGTTATTTGTTCAATTTTTAGCGTCATCGAATGATAAATCAATTGTTAGAAAGTGAATTGCAGAATGGAGTACACGCTTTATCGATAATAGTAAGTATTATCAACAATCTTAAACATTCTCATAGATATAAACTGTCTGCCGTAGGGAAGTATTGAATGAAAAATCAGTGGATAGCATTTTAAAGTAAAGGTTTAAAGCTTTCACTTAAAAGAAAAGTCATCATCTTACGATAATTTGTTGCTGAGCAATTATTTTCTAAACTTCAGCATTGACCCATACAGTAATGCCATAATTTTTTTGAGTATATATTGGAAGCTATTAGTGATAGAAAAAATGTATCAGACTAAAAATTATCCTACAAATTTTCATTTATAGCATCTTCTCCTGTTCAGCCCACTGTTCTTGCTCTACACTACATAAATTACAGTTTACAACAAACATTCGAATTGCATTTGCGAGGATTACATATCAGCTCATGTATCTATTAAATTTTGTTCAGGCAAAGACACCGGGACAATGGACGGAAAATAAGGGAATAGAATCGAGCCCAAAGTGCAGAGGTGGCTTTGGAAAATAATAAAGTTGATTAAGTAAATTCTTTCCATGTCAGGTCATGTATATTTATGTCGATATGAGCTACAAAATAATACTGAATTGAATAGACGAAACATCAGTTTTCCTGATCCAGAGGATTCTGATACAGAGTTATTTAAACAACATGGTGTCAGGTTGTCACAAATGGAAAATACATTGTTAGTACAACAGATTAAAGACGGATGCTTGAAGTTGTACACTTGAAGACATTATACTTGAAGAGGAAGAGAAAGGGTAAATAGAAATAATTCTATAATATACAAAATGAGTAGAACTGTTACATTAGAGAAGCCAATATCAATTTTCATGTCACAGGACTAACTACTAATATAATTATCTATTATAATTCTAGGAACCTCGGCTAAGCTAACTTCTCCGCTATTCGATCCTTCTGTGTATAGGTTTGTGTCAGTGAGATAATCCGATGGTGAAATAATGGAATAAATATCAAACTTTGCAATACAACGACAGCAAAAGCTAGTACAGTAGTTTAGTTCGAGGAACAACAAAAGAAAAAACAACCAGATCATGAAGCACTCAGATAGCTTGATGCTTGTTGAAACACACAAACTATGAAATACCAAATATGAAACTGTAACAAAAAAATATAGGTTCCCATTTAAAAAACGAAAGTTGACCTTCATTTTGCCTTGAAAATTTATTTTAAGGTCAAGTTCAAGGTCACCAATATTTTACCTCCTCGAAATCTTATAACTTTTGTCTGATACATTTTTCGCCATCATCCTTATTTTTTGAGATATTTGCCTGAATCAATTAAAATGGGACACCCTACATGTGCATGTGGTAGTTTTCCCTAGAGGGACAAAATTCAAAAGAATAGTACTTCGACGCGTCAAAAGTTAACGCGAGCCTACGTTAAAAAAATACGTAGCAATCGCTGGCCTCGAGTCATCATCCCTTCGCTGTTGTCGTCGCTGGAAGCGCGTCTTTCTTTTACGTACTTCAACATGAGACATACATAGTTTTTTATCTTTTTCGCACTGACGCACCAAACTTAAAAATCTTAAAAAATTCATGAACAATTCTTGCGACAATAAGAATCTATCATAAAAATATGGACAGTACATCCGAACGATTTCTATGTGAACATAAATATTTTAGCCCTTTCTTATTTTTCACGGCTACATTTTGTAACAAAAAAAGCTGAAATAATTCTCAGACGTGCTCAATTACGTTACAGACGTGTCAGAATTTTTTCAGATGAATAAATAATAAAGAAAAAAAAATGGATTATCTGGGTTTCAAACACACGGAGCCTCGAAGACTCCGAGCGTCGAAGTCTTCGAGCCTCGAGCCCGAGCCTTGAGGAGTGAAT